GAGGAGAACCTAAGGCCAACCATGGTGGTTGCTGTGAATAAGGAGTCAGACAGTCGGTGACAGTCGGCTGCTGGCTGTAATTGGCTGTAGCGTGTTTGGCCTACGCTGAGTCTATATCCATATATTGTTGTCCTTGCTGAATATATGCGTAGTAGTTAGTCAAATAGACCCGCTTAACTGACTAAGGGATGCCTCTTTGATCCATTAGCAGAACATCCTTTCCCCCACGCTTCAGGCGAAATCGGTGATTTTGTATGTTCAGGCATCCGAGCACATCTGCAGTCTGGAGTTCATAAGGCATTTATTCACTCTAGCTGATCAACTTTCGCTCGTTTATTTCTATCATACTTCATTTGCAGTGCCTGGCAGCGTTGGGAATCTCACCACCACGATGACGGGCAGTTCGCTCGAGGCCAAATGGGTGGCGCCAGCTTACGCTCCCGGAGAAGTCTCCAAATACCAATGGGTACTTTACACGGGCAGTTTTCCAACAAAAACAGAAACCGCCACGCAAACCACACATACCTTCCAGGGGTTGGACACGAACAGCATCTATCGTGTGGGCGTCTCGGCCATAATTGCTCCGAACGACCAGCACCTTGGCGGTGGCATGGGTCCCGAGAGTCTGAGTGATTTCGTGGGCTCTCCCGTCGCAGGTGGGTCCGATGGTTATTTTGTTTATTCATGCCCTTCTTTCTCCCATGTAACCACCGCGAGATGTAGTGCGTCTACTATTTGAGCGTCTAACGTTTCGGAAATGAAACTTTCTAATAATCACCTCTCAAAATAATGTCTTGCCAGTCCGGGCCATCATTCCAGCAGTATGCTCTGCGTGATGCTATTATTCCCTCGAAGGGGGAATTTGTTTTCAGTCCGATCGCTGACATTCCTAATATCTACAGTTCTTTAGTAGTGTTTTGACAACGCAGGACTTATTTATAACTTTTCAACTTGAGTCAGCATGTTCACCCGTTATTAATTCATGAACGTGCCTTTGTTTTAAGGCTAGGTCCAGCATATTACCACTCCACAG